AGTCTCCTGCACTGTCCTCCCCCGGCCCCCCATGGCAACCTCCATGACTGTAAAGATGCTTACGGTGCTCTTAAAATCTCTCTCTCATGTCAGATGTCATTTACATTGAGTTCATAAAATAAGATTAAGCTTTTTGGCTTCACTAAACAAAAGCAAATGCAATTTCTGTTTGCAATTCTATCCTTTACCCACCCTGCTGTGCAGGGTCCAGCAGAGGGGGAGATAAGCAGTGGAGGGCTGAACAGGAAGAACACTGCCGAAGTCTTGCCAGCTTCACCTCCCACCTCCTGGTCCCTCTCACTGAAAAGACATGTAACTGCTCCACAAGAACCTCACGGCTTTAGCTGAATGTCCAGAAATTTTGCAAGCGCAAGTAGTAACACACGGGTTTGACGGTGCAAATGAGAAGGGGAAAAAGGGCATCTGTTTCATAAATTTCATCTATTTCATGAATGACTACAGACCTCCTAAAAATCTTTGTCTGGAAAAACATACATTTCAGAAGAATTAAAAGTATACATGCATTTGGTTAAAAACAAAACAAAAAAGCTGGGCCACTCCGAGTGAATGCATGGGACACAAACGGCGTTTCTGCATTTTCCTCTGTGTGCCGTCACCTCCCTTACCTTGACTTCTGCTGTGCCGCTGAGGAAGGGGCAAAATGAAACTGGGAGTCAGTTAATGACCACAGAGGGCCCCACAGTGAAGTCTGAGGCACTGCACGGCCATCTCCCTTCCCTGACCAGACACGTTTTCTAGGCTCCACACCTGTCAGTGCTGGGCTCACCAGAGACCCTAACCTAACACTAGAGAAAAGAACCAAGAGAATCAAAGAAGAGACAGAAGGATGGATACAGTAACAAACTAATTCCCTATTTTCCCAGTGATTTCTAATGACCTCTCAGACTACCCACTACATAGACAAGGATAGAAGATAATATTTGATATTTTGTCTATGTTGCCTTTTCAAAGAGGATCTCAGAGAACTTTATATAGATAGATTATTTGTAATAGCAAGAATCGCATTTGAATCCCAGCTCCACCTCATCAAAATGTGAGTGCCTTCCTCATGCACCAGGCATAGGCACACATTGTCCCTGCATTGACAGAGCTCATGGCCTACTGCAGGAGACAGATGATCCAATAATCATGAAAATCAGTGTGGAAGATTTCCCTGCCATAGCACCTCTGTGCTGTGTGTATCTAATGCAGGAGCAGTGGAGGTGACAGCTAACAATGAGCTGAACTCGACCAAGCTAAAGACTATATGATTGGATGGGTCATTAGTCTGTGTCCAGTCTCTTTGTCTGTAAAAATGAGAATACTACAGACCCTGAGAAGCTTAAAGGAACTAAGTGTGGCAGATGTTAAGGTGTTAAACATGGGGCCTGATGGCTCAATAAAAGTTAGTTTTCTCTTTATATTCCCTTTCTACTAAACCCACAGTTCCTACTTTCTCGATCAGGTCATACTCTTGCTTATAAGTAAAAATGCTGCTTGTTTATAAACAACCAGAAGTGCAAACAATAGAACAGAAAATTATCATCAAAACACAAATTTTACATTCTCACCTCTGACTGTAAAGTAGGTAACTGGCCATAAGTGCTATCTGTCCTTCGTGAGGCATTTGAGCACCGTAATAAAAAATTCTCAAGTCAAAAGCCCGGGGTGCTGACCCATACTCTTGCACTATCTAGTTCTGTGGTCTTGGGATAATCACTTTCCCTTGGTTCAATGATCTACCATTCCAATTCTGAAGAGAAATTCTGGAGTATTATAGCAGATTCACTACCTTGTTGCCGACCCTGAACACGCTAACACTCTGTTCCTACTTCCACGACAGCATTGCTTGTATGCACACTACACATCATATAGACGTGTGTGTTAATACACATACATGTGAGTATACAGGAACAGATGTGTGCGTGTATACGCACACACATTTTAATGTTTCTCTCAGCATTTCAGAGTCCTATTCACCCTTGTATCTCCAACATAATGCTTGGTACAAAGGAGGGACTCAATATGGGTTCACCAAATAAAGGAATACGTGAATTAATGTACAATCAGGAAGAGACAACTTTTAAAAACTCAAGTGGATCCAAATTATGGTCAGTCACCACAGCGGAATAATGAAAGGGCCAAGCTGGTTCTACTGGGCAGTAGGTGGGGAGGCACCACACAATAGCTGGAGCCTGGCTTTTAGTGTAAGTTCGCTATGACCAGGAACTTTAGCAGACCATTGCTTTCCCCCAAATTATAAAATTTAGCATTAGATCTATGGGGTGAGGGGTGGGGGAATCTCTCTTTAGCAGTCCAAAAGGTGCCAGTCCTTCGGAGGAAAGGTCTGGTTAGTGGAAATGCCCCAAGGACCACATCTTACAGCAAGGAACATTTACCATCGGGTTCAAAGAGAATAAATTAGAATCAGAATTTCATCCTATGCTTCAACAATGGGCCATTTTCTCCTCTCAAAGGAAATACTCTGCCTTCGTCCCCCTAAAACACACCATCTTCAACTCTTATACATTATTTAGTGAATTCTTTGGGGAAAAAAATCTCCAAAAAGAAAATAAAGAGTCTTACTTGGTCAAGAGGAAAAAAATGGAAACAAAGAAAGGCTAAGTGATTTACCCCATGGCATACTTCTCTTCTGATATATAGAACTAGAAAATTAAATCTTAAAGTTCACAGCTGCAGTCAGCAGACTACCCTGCTTTATAAAATAAATACAGCCAAAATGAGCCTTGAAAAGATCGAGGTAGGAGGGAGACGAGGCCACATCAGTATTTAATATAGGTATAACAGAAGATGTGCCATTTAAAATAGAGCCCCATAAGGCGCAACACTGTTGTAAACAGACCCAGTACAAATGAGATTGCTTATTTATATAGGTTGTGTATATTCAACTCATACTTGCAGTAATGTGCGTGTGTGTGTGTGTGTGTGAGGATAACCAGAACCTACAGTGTTTAAAATAAGTGTAATTCAGATAAGGTGGCAGCTGTATAATAAACTAAGAAATGTATTTTTAAATCTTGTAATTAAAGCTTTTCCCCTTTCTTGATTATCTTGACTTTGAGGAACATATTGTGCAATTTCAGGGGCTGGGACAGTGATGAATCAAACATTTTAGAAACCTTTGAAATGCTGATGTATTTGTGGTTGAGGACTCAATTTTGTTTTTTTTTGTTTTTTTAAACCACCATATGTTTCAAACCCAAACAATCTCTGCCATGCATCAGCTGGACTTTGGGGTTTTATCAAAAATGTGAGTTATTTCAGCCTGATTGGTGGGAACCTCACTTAATTCCACAAGATGACTAATGCTCCAACATAATAAACTCATTAAAAAGCAAAGAAAAATATATTTCTATCTCCACTCCTAAACCAACACTTTTGACAGAAGAATGTTTTTTAATCTCCGAAAGATCAATTAACTAAAAGAATACTCATTTTTAACATGGGAACTGGTGAAATTAGGTACTGTTACTTTCCTCCCTGAATTTCCTTTCTAATGAAAAGGGGAAGTTGGAAGGGAGTTGGGGAATGGCCTTAAATTTCAGAACGAACAAAAAAAGATATAAAGGACAAAACCTAAACTATGAGGCTGGCAATGTCAAAAGGCGCCACCACGTGGTGCACTGGAGGAAGTGCAGCCTCTTGCACTCAGGCACAGGATGTCCAGGGGACCTCTGAAGGGAGAAGGCGCCCTTCACCCACTGTAGCTGTCTCAACGCAAGGGCCTTGAAGCCCAACAATCTGGGGTGGGGCAATGGCATTCAGTATCATCTGTGATTCACAGGTTTCAAAAACTGGGTAAGTTAGGTCAATACCACTATAAATAGCCAACTCAAAATTGTAATCCAAGTCTTCCGATTTAAGATGCCTCCATTTAATTTAACCTAGAATGGACACAGACCTAGAAGTGATGTCAAAAGATTGCATGTGATTGTTTGAAGCTAAAGTGGTCATTCTTCTAAACTGCATGAGAGATTTATAGCTTTGCTTTTAAAAAGGACCAAAACTTTGTACTGAAACATCATTTTTATAAATATATGTATATACAGATATACACATACATATTTGTGCTTGTAGAAAAATATGTATGTGGGGCGCCTGGGTGGCTCAGTCGTTAAGCGTCTGCCTTCGACTCAGGTCATGATCCCAGGGTCCTGGGATCGAGCCCCACATCGGGCTCCCGGCTCGGCGGGAAGCCTGCTTCTCCCTCTCCCACTCCCCCTGCTTGTGTTCCCTCTCTCGCTGTCTCTCTCTGTGTCAAATAAATAAATAAAAATCTTAAAAAAAAGAAAAAAGAAAAAACTTGTATGCTTGTTGAGAAATTTGAAAAATACAAACTTGAAGGAAAAAAAGAAAATCTCTTAAAATCCACTTAAAGATATATTTATTTCCAGTCTCTTTCCTTTGTTTATATGTAGAATTATTTGATTTTTTATAAAATTGGGCTCATTCTATATTTAAAATGTTTAAGTCAATATCCACCATCAAAAATATAATTTTATACAGAAAGATTAACTTTCTAAACACTAGAAGAGGAATAAGTACACCTGAGGCTATAAGTAGTAGTGTAAACTGAAGGCTTCCAAGCAAATGTTTCAGAGATAAGTGATCTTCTTATGCTTAATCTATTCAGGAAAGGTCTAAATAGCTGGTATTATAGAAAAGAAGACGGAAGAGAAAGTGAACTTGAGTTTACATCCTGGTTCTACCAACAGTGGCTGCAAAACTTGCAACAAGCTGCTGGTCTCAATGACTCCTTCTCTCCTAAACAACTGAGGCGGCCACCTCTCAACTGTCTAACTCAGAATGTTGTCAGGAAGAGCATATGAAATGATGCACATGCAAACCCTCGGTAAATTACCCACTTATACACACACTCTTCAAGGTGCTTGGTGTTCTCCAAGGTACTTAGTGCCTACGAAGCACTCTCACAATTCTTGTGTAGAATTGAGGTACAGCTTTCTTTCCAAAAACTGAATAGTAGTATAACTTCCTTGGAGTGGTTTCTATTTATCTGTAAGGTTCAAATGCAGAATTTCCCTTTCCTTGAGGTCCCTGTCTTGCTATACTGGTTTATGTCTAAAAATTCACCTCCTCTCTTCATTCTGCCCATCTAATCTGAGGTAATTAATTATATTCCCCCAACATTACCACCCTCATAGATTTTGGAGCTCACTAAATCACTTCACATTTGTCCAAATCCCATTGTTCTTCCCAGTTGATCCAGGGCATCCCCCCCACCCATTGGTATCCGATTATATGGGTAACTGATTTCCAAATAAAATTTCTAGTTACTCCTCATGGGACTTTTTTTTATGGTTATGCCATTCCTAACACTGTGTCTTTGTAACTTCTTGCCTCCCTATTTTGATCCTTTCTATATTACTGTAACTTTCTTATCAATCAGATCCAACTGATAAGCTTCTTTTGTTAGGTTTCCAAAATGCTAATCTATAAATATGTCTTTATTTGGTAAGCCAATCTATCCATGTCATTTTTTTCCACAACTAACCCTAGGTGAGGCCTCTCGTGTTCAATCTTGCTGGGCTTTTTCGATCTCTTTTTCATGTTTAAATAAAGATTCCTTTTGTCTTTTTTGGGTAAAACACTTTAAATGCAACAATAAACCAAGCCAACAGGGACTTTTATACGCGCCCACACATGCCCTGAGTACAATGTGCTGTCTCAAAACAGGACCAGGGCACCTGGGGTAGCTTATTATACAGAATGGAGTGGGGGTGGAAGCATCAACCAAGTCAACACCCCTCAAGCTATAAATAGTAAATTATTTAAGTAAACTCACTAGAAATTCTCTAAAGAAATATTTTCAAAACTCAACAAAAAACTTGCAATCAACTTGAGTCCCATCTCTGTCAACTTACTTTTACCCCATTCCATTTGGCTGCCCCCACCCCCCTTCCTGCATCCATTTGGATTCCTTCTGGGTTCGGGAAGGGCAGGAAAAGGGAAGAGCAGAAGATTATCAAAATGAAAATGGAAGCAGCAAAGATAAACAGAGTGAAAGGGATTAAAAAGACATTCCTTTGTGAGGCTGATCAGAGTAGGAGTGAACTAAGAAAAAATTATCAGAAGACTAATACTTGTTTTGTTTCCCTATGAGAAGGGAAAAAAAACACCCCACACTACATGTTGTACTTGTTTTGCTTAACTAATAATAGTGTGTCGACACCCATATTGTCAATAATCTGTAGTTTGGGGCCTTTTCCCTCAATTTACCTTCTTCCAAACAGCCCCACCGCTTTGCACGGTGCCCTTGCTTATGACACCGTCCTAGTTCTTCATGGCTTGGTTCAAATCTCCTGACCCATAAGGTCACCCATGACTGCTCCACCCCACTGACCTCGCCCTTTGGAAAAATCACTGAGCAGCTGCTGCATGCTGGTTACTCCTTCCAACTAGACAAGATGCTTCGCCAGGACAGGGAGCATGTCCCACCCACAACTGAAGTCTCCTGTCCTTACACAGAAGGATAGTACCTGGCACATGCTCAGACTGATTATCCCCACATCCATCAAACAGGCTTTATCCATTAATACACAAATGCTACACCTGCCACCCAACACTAGGGTCCTGTGGTCACTGATCTTGTTCTGAAGTATAACTGCTGCTCATTTGTTTGGCCAACCTAGATCCAGTGGAGGATAACTGTGGCTCTTTGGCCAATCCTCCCAGAAAGACCACCTGGAAGTGGTCATCAGAGCCTAGCGCAAGGCCAAGCCCTATGCCAAAGATTCCCATGAAGCTGAGGGGGTGCCCAGGTCCCCAAGGAAGGTTTTCCAGTTATAGAGTGCTCCTCTGCCAGAACAGTCCAGATTCATCCCGTCCACTGTATAAACTTGCTTTTTGGAGGTACAGGGATGGCATCACAGTATCATCCACCACCACTGGGGAACTGAAGAGTCTCAGTAATTAACCATCATCTCTCATGATGGAACATTGCAGGGAAGAAGAGCTACAGATATGCAAATCATCATTATTCATCATGAACACTCAGGATAAAAACAGTTTTAGCATCTTTCCGTGCTCTTAAAAAAAAAACGTTTCAAAGAAAGAAAATTACTTACTGCCTTCCCACGTACAATGCAAAAGATTCAAAGCCCCTTCCACCCTCTTCCAGTGTGCCAGATGAAAGAACGCATATGCTATTGCTTCACTGTCCCCTCGCTTCAGGATATGTTCTGGGGGGAGGATTAAGCTTTTCATTTCTAGGAGGTACTGAAATAAAAAAAGGCAGGAGACAGATGCATTAAAACATAGTAATTTGGAATTCCATATTGAGAATAGAGAGGTTGATTTCCCTAAAGGCACACCACTCATAAGCATTTCATCAAACCTGCGACCTTGTTAGTACATTTGAAGGCAATTACTAAAATATCCAGCAACCCAAAGCTTGCTAATAGATAGTTAGCCTTCTACTACTTTCCTACAGTGAAGATCATAGGCTTTCAGGGTAAGATACTCTAATCGACGAAACATATATAGACCCAAACAGCAAAATGGAAAATTTAGAAGACACAATAAAGTTGGTATAATTTTGTAACCAGAAACAAAAATACATAAAATGGACACAGGAAGGTTAAGAAGTCATAAGACTAAGCCCACTATACTAGAGAGACTTGAGACTGACTAGTGCTGCCCATTATTTTTTTCTATACAGATTTACCAAGGAGAAGGACCTGGTCCTGTGAAAAGAGCCACCCCTTGCTGTTCAGATGCTGGAGGAAGGAGATGTGGCAGCCTGAGCATAGGAAGACCCCAGGGAGAGGAGCAGTACAGACCCCAAACTATACTGTTCTTTTAGTTCCTTTCCCAAAGACTGAAGGGTCCTCAGCTTATGCCTCTTCATTCCTATCTTCTACGAAGGAGATGGAAGCACAGGGCCAGAATGGATTCTTTGGTGTTTACTACAGAATAGAAAGGGAAGCAAATTTAGGGTGGTATTTTATATTTGCAAACGTTAACTTCTTTTTGCTGGCTGGCTTCTCCCTGGGTTTCACTCCTCACCCACACATACATACACACTATCACCACCAACCACCATCACAACAACCCATGCACCTCCTTTAAAATGGAGATTAGCGGATGATGGAGGGATGTGTTTAATTAAAATGGGACAAACACAGCAGAAGGAAGTGCTATGAGAAGAGATGTTCAACAGTTTTAATGTCAGAAACAACTGCCTGAAGATTTATCTATCAGTGGAATTTATGAGAGGGTGAAGAATGGAAGAATCCTGCTACACGGAATGGAAATCATGGTACACCTCTCCGTGTTCTGTTACCTCATGTGGCTTTATGTGCTTTGCGCACTGCGTGCAGGTGCCTTTAAGCTTCCTCTCCTGTTGGCATATCCGTTATCGGGATGCACTTGCTTAGGAGGAACCAGGAGGACACACTCTGGCCTCTTGGTTCAGCAAATGAAACTTTCCTCACTCTGGGTCTGGTATGTGAAAAAAATCTCTAAGCCTCAGGCCTCAAAAAAGTGAGAGAGCCTATCGAGAGTGCTGCAGAGAAGAGTGATAGAGCCATCACACTTGGCGGTGAGGGGGTAGGGAGGGTGGGGAGGGTGGGAATAGAGGGCCCTCCATCGACAGAAAGACCTCCGTGGGAAGGCCTCTTCCCAGACCGTTCCATGAAAGGTGGTGATTACTCTAATGGGAACTCCTCAAGGATGAGTTCCAAAAGAACTTTTTGGTCAGATCCCTTTTTGAATTCTACAAGTCACTGCCTTCCTCCTTCATCTTGTTTTAAAACAGTGCAGAACAAAAACCTTTTGGGAAAAATTACAATTTTGAGTTACCTAGTAATCCAATCGGCACTACATTTATAATGAATAGCAACCATAATATATATATAAGGCTGAATTTTACGTTCAGAGATATTTGACTATCCTCTCGTGATCTTGTTACCCTAATCAAAGCGATTATACTCTATGTTGCCACCGCCCATGATGATCTTAAAAGACTCCAAGGCAATGAGTCATGGGAAAGACATATAACCTGTTAAGTGTTATAAATTGTATTAATTGTTTCAGAGTAAGAGAAGAAAGATCATTCGGTTACTCTTAATAATCATCAGGAGAACAAAGGAAAGGGAAATTTTGTTGCCTAATAAGAGCCCTAGAGTAAGACTTTATTTTTGAGTTTCTAATAACTATTTATAGCTACTCTGCCTACCAAATAGTCAATTTTTCCCCAAAAAGTCAATTTTTAAAGAAAGAACATGCTGTATGAACTCTGAAACAACTAAATATGAAAACCATTAGTGCATGTGTCCCAGGTATACAGAAACCTCTTCAAGTCCCTGAGAATAAGATGGTGGCTGAAAGAAAAGTATAAACTACCATTGCTTTTATTTCTATGATTAGGAAAGTCTTTCAAAGTCATTTCATTAAGCATCTATAAGAGAACTCTTCTCTTGACCTAAGGAACCTTCAGGAATAGGGACCTCTGAGAAGAAGTGGGTAGGCCCACATTTGTGGGTAGACTTGAAACAGAGGGGCAGGGCAGAGAAAACTTGTGTGTAAGGGGCTTAGAAAATTACCTATATAATTTTATAATTATAATAGAATAGATATAATAGATCTGCGTTATCCAACATGGTAACCTCTACCACATGTGACTATCTGAATTTAAATCAATTAAAATCAAATAAAATAAAAAACTCAGTTTCTCAGTCCCACTAGCCATATTTCAAGTCCTCAAGTGAGGCATGTAGTTAATGACTACTATACTGGACAATGCAGAGACATTTCTGTTAGCACAGAAAGTTCTATGGGAAAGCACTACTGTAGACAATGGAAGTTTCCAATCTTTAAGTAACTAAAATAATTTTTAACATGAAAAAATTTTACAGACACCTATGGTAGGAATTATTATTATAGTATTGATTGAAAATACATAATATGGCAAAAAGCTAAAATAAATGTAATAAAACAGGAATTCATTTAAAAGCATCGCTGGCCACCAGGGCATCTAAATATACTTGGAAAATAGTACACATGTGTGTGAGACAGATGGCTTACTCAGCTTGCAGGCTCAATGTGCTGCATATGGCCTCAAGGACATCATCATCCACAGCCCTAAAATCAGGCCGTAAGGTAATGCTTTGTTTTTCCTCTAAGCTGCCTCTGATCTTTGTGTACGTGTACTTTTCATACATTGCCTTGTATTAGTTATTTGTGCGTCTTTTCCCTCAGCTGAATCATAAGATCCTCAAGAACATGAATCTCGCTTCCTAAGAAGTCTCTCAAAATGAGCATCCTTGCTCTAATCAGCCTCATGATGCTAACCAGAGCAACTCACCAAGGACACTCAGTTACCTTCTCATTGAATTTGCTTGATGGCAGAAATAGGTAATGCCTATAAGGGAGATTTATACTCCAGTATAGTTCCAAACAAAATGTTGGCTCTAACCAGACGATGAAGGCTAATAACAACAATCTGTTATGTTTTTGGCCAGGCTTAAAAATGGCTGGCAAGATCAGTTCTCAACATGTGCAACGTTTAAATTAGAAAGGCATGGAACAACATTTCACATCTTACTTGTCAAGAGAAAAATAAATGGAAGAGGGCAGATCCCTATCCACAAGTATGCAGAAATCAATTAGAATAACTGTAGCTTGCAAATCAGAGAACACTCTCTGCCTGTCTGTAATAATTATTTGGCTTCTATTAGCCAGGCCAGCATTCCGTGCTCTCTTGCCTGCTACCCTGCCTCCAACTTCCTTCCAGATTCTCAAGTCACATTGATCTTAAAGTACAGGCTTCTAAAGGTTTCGGAAGCAACTCTCAAAAATCTATATGTCAGAACCTAGTTCCTTATGTCCATAGGAACATACGAAGTCAGAACATAGAAAGAGGAGCTGAGTAGTATGGACGTATTTAAGAGAGGCTGGCTCACCTGTCAGGAGGCTACCCCAGGTGACTGTTCAATGCTCTTCTGTTAAGGTCTTAAAATTCTCTAATAATTTGAGTGAAAATAATCCTAAAGTTAACCTTCACATAAACATTAATGTCCAGGAATTAATTTATACCCCCTTTTTTGGATTTTTACAATACCAACAATAGAAGTCATATGAAATCATTAGGGAAAAAAATGGGAACAAACAAAATAAGCAAATACAGGTTAATTTTAGCACACTTAGCTAAATTTAGGTAAATTCAACACATTTAGGTAAATTTTAGCACATTTGGATGATGGCTATCAGGTTCCTCCCAAAAAATCAGGTAGTGGAAGAATATTAGCATGAGAAAATGTTCATCATATATTACTAAATGAAGAAAAAGTAAGGGTACCATACAGATTATGATTTTGGTAACTAAAAAAAATAGATATGCACATTAAAACACTGTAAAGTCACAGACAATGTTAATGGTGGTTAAATATTTGATTTTATGGGAGATTAATTTCTTTTGTGCTTTTTTGGTGCTTTCCAAGTTTTCTGTAAGTCATTTTTATTTCTCTCTCTATATATATGTATATATGTGCATGTGTGTGTATGTGTACATGTAATACAAACCTATCTTCTAGACTTGCAACAAAAACATAAAAAAACAAGCCACACAAATGAAAAAAAAGATAACCAGAGACAGCAATTTTTATATGTTTACAGTGCTTTGGTACAACTGGGTATGAAAGAGGCTGAGAGCCCAGAATGGATACTTTAAAAATATCTATCAGTAAAGAGTTCAGAGAATAAAATTAGTCCTATTTGGAAGACAAGTTATATATTTTGAGTCTCAGTGTTGCCTACTCCCTGGACTCAATAAGACACACGCTGGAATAGGACAAAAATACCACAAGTAGCCGTGGCTCTCTTGAGGCATGCTGGGATGGGGACTGAAATACCCAGTATCATGGTTCCCTGCCTCCCTTGCTCTCATACCCTCAGCCATTCTGACCCAATGTTTGAATCCCAGCCCTACTGTTCCACTCTGAGGCCCTGGACAAGTCAATTTCCTTCAACCTCAGCCTGCTCATCTGTTAGAATAATAAAAATACACATCTTGCCAATTCTAACTGTTGAAGGTTATGTAGGATAATATACGTAAAGCATTCACACAGTACCTGGCACATACGTGTTCATGAAATAGTAGCTATTTTTACTAACAAAAAAATGAAATGTTTATATTACTGTGGAGATAAGTTGTATTTTTTGTGTATGTATGTCCCACAAATAATTGAATCTGTTTTTAGGTAAAATACTTCAGCAAT